GCACACTCAGTGCTGAGCCTGATGCAGGGCTCAAACCCACAAACCATGAGCTCATGACCTGAGTCTAAACCAAGAGTTGGACCCTTAATTGACTGAGCCACCCAGCCACCCCTCGTTTTATGATATTGAGATGCTTATTAAGCATGTAAGTAGAGATAAAAGTAGGCTACTGAATATGTGATTCTGTAGTTAAGGAACCATGTAAGATAGAAACTTGGAAGTCCTCACCATATAACTAGTAGTTAAGATATTTAAAGCCCTAAGACTTGATGAGATCACCAAGGATGTGAGTACAGATAAACGAGAAGTTCATGAATTCATCTCTAGGGCACTATGATGTTAAGATGTCCAAGATGAGGAGGAACCAGCAGAAGAGAATGAAAATGAACAGTTACGAGGTTGGAGGAAAACCAGGAGAATCTGGTATCTTGAAGCCTAGTGAAGAACGTATTTGTGAGAGAGATTATTAACTATTCCTTTCACTGCTAAATATTGAGTAAGATGGTGCTGAGAATTGATCATTAGATTTGGCAAGGTGGAGATTGCTGGTGTTTTCAAAAAGGACCTATTAATTGTAATGAGGGCATAACATAAATCCTGTTAGGAGGGGCTTAGGAGAGCATTTGAGATGAAGGAGGAGTTATTAACAATATACAATTCAGGAATTTTATTGAAAGGTAAGGAGATAAATAGGAGTGGTAACTAGAGGGGAATGTGGGGTCTACTTTTAAGATGGAAGATACTAATGCTTGTATACCAAAGGGGATGGTTCAGTTCAGGTGGAGAGAGTGATACAGGAGAAAGAAGAGCTAGTTGCAGAAAGCAAGCCCTTTAGTAGGTGGGAGGAAGGAATCCAGTGAGTAATTGGAAGAGTTAGTCTTTGATAGTAAATGACCATGGAGAGCATGGCCGTGTGTGGTAGAGGATGAGGGGGTCCAGGAAATTAGAGGCCATGTATTGATTGGACAGATCTTCCATGTACACCCTAAATGATGACAACAGTAGCAGTGGGGAAAAAGACATTAAGACAGAATGAAAGGGAGTGGGCAAGGAGATAGGTTGATGACTATAACAAGAAAAAGTATTGGGTATGTAATCTGATGATGGCCTGTACTTCAGAGACAATGGGATTTTTGAGTAAGAAGGTTTTGAGTGAGGGTTTCCTTAATTTTTTTTATTAAAAAAATTGTTTTTAAGGTTTATTTATTTTTGAGAGAGAGAACATGAGCAGGGAAGGAGAGAGAGAGGGAGACACTGTTATTTGAAGCAGCCAGCACAGAGCCTGATGCGGAGCTTGAACTCACAAACCCCAAGATCATGACCTGAGCCAAAGCTGGACACTTAACCAACTGAGCCACCCAGGTGCCCTGAGTGAGGGTTCCCTTTAGATCATAATATATTATTAGATTATGCAAATTGGCTAGCTTTTAAAATTTCCGTGTGAATTAATCTAGGATCTGATCAGCAATGGCTGCTAATTTCTCAAAAAAGACAGACATACATTGTATGCCTTTGCCTGGAGGTACACAGCACCATCTAGTCCTTCAAAGGAAAATAAAAATCAAAATGAAATCTGATCTAGGGGCGCCTGGGTGGTTCAGTCAAGCGGTTAAGCGTCCGATTTTGGTTCAGGTCATGATCTTACGGTTCATGAGTTTGAGCCCCATGTCTGGCTCTCTGCTGACAGCTCAGAGGCTGGAGCCTTCTTTGGATTCTGTGTCTCCCTGTGTCTCTGCCCCTCCCTGCTCACACTCTGTCTCTGTGTCTCAAAGTTAAACATTAAAAAATTAAAAAAAAATGCAATCTGATGCAATCTCTAGATCTAACAGAGTGCTATAAATTGTTCATTATGTTGCCATAAAGGATGGATCAGCCAAATAAGACCATGGAATCCTCTACAGGACAAGCCACTGGTTTCTTCAACAAAAGAATGCAAAAGAAAACAGAGGTAGAGGAGCATATATAAATTAAAAGAAACATGAGAGGCATTATTAATCATTTGCAATGTATTGATCCTTAGTTAAAATATTAAAACAAAAAGCAAAAAGATATTATAAGCTAATCAGGAAACCTATTTGGATATTTAATGACATTTGTGATTTGTTAAATTATGCATTGGTAACAGTATTGCATGGGTATATATACGTACATTTTTTACGGCTGTTAGTTTTTAGAAATACATATAGGTCTATTTACAGAGAAAAATGAGAGCCAAATCCAGTGGGAATTGATTAAAAATGTATACTTTTATCAAGTTAATAACCAAGACATTAATAATCTTTTAGAATGTTAGAGAAGATACTGATTTTTTTCTGTATATCCATGTATAAATAAAGAAAGTATGATCAACCTAATAAAAATGGGCACAGGACAGGAGTGAGCATTTCATAAGAAATGTGTATGGTGTTTTCCAAGGTTGGAGAATATCTAAATCCACAGATTTTCTAAACATTTTAGTATTGCCAAGATGTTTTTGGAAAACAGTTGGCATTATTTCCTATAATTGGACATTCACATAAACTATGACTCAGCAATTTCATTCATAGGTGTATATGAAAGAGAAAATCTTGCCATGTACAAGAATGTTCACAGCAGCGCAATTGATGGTAGCAAAATTGTGGAAAAAATTTACTCTCCAGTGGTAGATTGGATGAATAAATAGCTTCTCCATTAACAGGAGAGTAGATCAATAAATACAATGAAATATTATATAATGGTCACATCAAATAAGTATAGCAAACACAGCATTGTGGATGGATCAATAAAACAGGTCCCAAAATACTACATATAGCCTGATACCCTTTTTTTTAAAGCTGAGAGCAATTAAAATAAAAATATACATAACAGTATGAATTTTACATATATATGAAGATAAAGGGACACACACACACACACACACACACAAATGCATAAAAGAGAAAGCAAGGGAAGCAGGAATGGGATTCAGGATGATGGCTAACTTGTTTGGGGAGAAGCAGTAGGAGGGGGAAGAGAGAGGACTGCATTGTATAGTTAGCTGGAAGGTATTGTCCAGGTCCTAGGTTTTTGTTTGGGTGATGGGTTTGTAGGTGCTTATATTAAAAATAGTAATTAGGGGCGCCTGGGTGGCGCAGTCGGTTGAGCGTCCGACTTCAGCCAGGTCACGATCTCGCGGTCCGTGAGTTCGAGCCCCGCGTCAGGCTCTGGGCTGATGGCTCAGAGCCTGGAGCCTATTTCCGATTCTGTGTCTCCCTCTCTCTCTGCCACTCCCCCATTCATGCTCTGTCTCTCTCTGTCCCAAAAATAAATAAACGTTGAAAAAAAAAATTAAAAAAAAAATAGTAATTAAAAGTAGGCCATTCATGGACCAATAAATGAACTAAGAATAATGATTACTAATTTCTTTAATAACTCACTTCTAAATAAAGAAAAATATGCTATATATGCAGCTATATAAATAATTTTAAATCTCTATGGATGTAACCATCAAGGAGGTTTACTCATGAATATTGATTTTTGTCTAACTTTAGACAGATTTTTCCTGAGTTCTGTATGCTATTTAAATGGATAGTGGTTAAAAATGCATATAACTTGGTCAGCTGGAGAATGCTTGAGGTTTTGGGGGATACTGGAATTTTTTTGCCTAATTATACTTTTTCTGAAAAATGTTTCTAAAGCATGTTAGTTTACTTTTCTGTTGTATTAAGAAAATGATATGAGGGGCGCCTGGGTGGCGCAGTCGGTTAAGCGTCCGACTTCAGCCAGGTCACCATCTCGCGGTCCGTGAGTTCGAGCCCCGCGTCGGGCTCTGGGCTGATGGCTCAGAGCCTGGAGCCTGTTTCCGATTCTGTGTGTCCCTCTCTCTCTGCCCCTCCCCCGTTCATGCTCTGTCTCTCTCTGTCCCAAAAATAAAAAAAAAATAAAAAAAAAAAACGTGGAAAAAAAAAAGAAAATGATATGAATGAGTTTCATGATTGAAATTCTTATAATGCTTCAATGTGGTATTATTTTGGAAGGCACAAAAATTTAGCTTACTCTGGCTAGGTTTACGAACATAATCCTGGAATTTGCCTTTTTCCCTAAGTCCCACTATGAAACTGTTTTCTTAGGGGCGCCTGGGTGGCTCAGTCAAGCGTCCGACTTCGGCTCAGGTCATGATCTCATGGTCCGTGAGTTCAAGCCCCGCGTCAGGCTCTGTGCTGACAGCTCAGAGCCTGGAGCCCCTTTCAGATTCTGTGTCTCCCTCTCTCTCTACCCCTCCCCTGTTCATGCTCTGTCTCTGTCTCAAAAATAACTAAACGTTAAAAAAAATTAAGGAAAAAAAAGAAACTGTTTTCTTAGGATTTCTCTTTTAAAAATCATGTTTCTTCTTGTCTTGACTTCATTCTAGTTAACTGAAATTTTATTCATTGAATTTTTGTTGTAATGTTGCCCTAATTATTCTGGTTTTGGCTCCAAGCTGGTCACAATTATTATTATAAAAGTGCTAATTTATTTATTTACTTATTTAAATGACTGCTTTGTTACAGATACTTCACTAGGTGCACACTCAATCACTGTATAGATCACCAGCTGAGGTACAAGCCCTGAAGGGAAGGGAGTGCTCTGTGAGAGCAGAAAGGGTGACCTGGGCTTACGGAGTGACCTTCTCTGCTTAAGCGGAGATATAAAGGCTGACTGGTGGCCAGTTACAGGTCCGGGTACAGGTCATGGTACAGGACTCACGTTAGTAGGCACTGCTTAGACAGATGCTGAGGCAGGAGCAAGTGCAGCACGAATGAACGAATGGAAGAAATAGTGCCCTCTAGTGGTAGGAATCAAAGATGAGACAGTGTAGACACAGGCGGGGGCCTGATTCACTCAGCACCTAAGAGCACTGGGAACTCCCTGAGGATTTTAATTAGGAGGCTACTGAAGAACAGATTCATGTTTTGAAAAGAGTACTTGTCTGATGTCTGTCTTCCTCAGTGAGTGTAGGCTCCACAACTAGAGACAGGAGCCGTTGATCTCACCGAGTGCAATACATGTAGATTTGCAGCAAATAGTAAATGTCACAATTGAATAGCTCAGTGTCTGGCACACGGTATAAGTGCTTATTAGTAATGTTGGCTGTGGTTTTCGTCGCTCTAGATTGGCCTTTAATGTGCACCGTGGCTACTTTGGAGTTAGAGGTTTCATGAAATAGTTCAATCCAACAGTATCCACTGAAGACCTGTGATATACGTGGAAGAATCAGCAGCTAAGTTTATTAGAATTTCATCACTTTTTTTTCTGTTATGCCCCAAGGATGTAACAGAGCAGAAAAGTGATAGAGAATTCTGTTAATAAACCAGATTAGCCGGCAGTGAGTTGACTAGGTGCTCCTGCTTCACACTATTCATTTTATTCAATTAGAGTTTGGTGCCTGGTAAGATTGCTCTTACAGAACCATTTCTTCTGGAGTTCTCAGGTAAAATTCTCTTTTCATAGTTCTTTGGAAGTAATCTTAACTTTATTCTTCAGTGGTGTTAGTTTATTTTATATAAAGTGGTTACTGTGTCATTTTTCATCCAAAAGACTAAAGATTGCTATTAGGAATATTTTTTTGAAGATCTATAATCATTTTTATACTGTAGCTTTAATATTTTACTTTTTTCAAATGTTTAGTTTACACATGATGTATCTTTTCTTAAAATACATAGTATGTGGTTACATGACCAACTACCGGGCCATTTTCCTTTCCTTTTTAATGGGGAATAATAACCAGAGCCACCATGTAGCACATACTTGCTTTCATGCACATTAGTAAAAAGTACTCTATCTGGGTGGACGAATTTACCGAAGGGGTCTCCTGCTTCTGACACATTGAACAGGGTAGTATCTGGGCTACTTTTCAACTCCTACTTGTGTCTTCTTTGGGTGCCTGGAAGCCATGCAAAAACTACACAGCTATACTTAGTGGCCCTAAATAGTAACTCAGTAGAAATTACATATTGCTCACAATCAGATTATAGATAATCCTTTATAAACAAAGTTAAAACTTTAATAATTGTATTTAACTTGTTTTCAAAACTTTGTTAAAATTGTGTATATGGGGAGAAGTCTTTTATGAAATTTTTTTCAAGTAGAGCTAAGATTCTTATTTTTTTAATGTTCCCAGCTTTGCCGAGAAGTCAATTTAAGAAATATATATATAAACACGCATTCATATATATGTCTGTTTAATTTTTTACTATGGAACGTTTTTGATGTATACAAAAGTAAAGTGATAAAGCCTCATGTATCCATCATTTGGCTTCAATGATTGCCAGTGTACTGTTTTATCTGCTTCTTTCCACTTCTCCCACCCCAAATTATTTTGAAGTAAATCCCAAAATATTATGTTTTTAATCTCTAAACTTTTCACTATCTGCTCTGGAATATAGACTCTTTAAAAAACACAAGCATAAATCATTATAACACCTAAAAAATTAAAGTGATTAACAATATTATCAACTACCCAGTCAGTATTCAGACTTTGTTTCATAAATTTTTTTTTTTAAAGTTTATTTTATTTTGAGAGAGAGAGAGAGACGGAGGGAGAGAGATCAGGGCAGGGTGGGCAGAAAGAGAGAAAGAGAATTCCAAACAGCCTCCGCTCTCTAAGTGTGGAGCCCAGTGTGGGGCTCAATCTCATGAACCATGATAGATCATGACCTGAGCCGAAATCAGGAGTCAGATGCTTAACTGACTGAGCCGCTCAGGCGCCCCTTGATTTACTTTTAACCTATAGCTCCCCCCTCCCTTTTTCTTTTCTCACATTTTATTTGTTGAAGAAATGGTTATTTGTCCACTTTCTGCATTTTGCTGATTAAATCTCTTGTATCATTTAACCTTAACAAGAGTATTTTTAATTTATGTTTCAATATGATACTTGATCTCTAGACTATAAAAAAATTTGTTTAAATGGAGAAATTAATGCTTACTTTTTCAAGAATGACGGATTTCAAAGAATTTGTAAACACGAAAGGGAGGATCTGAAGAAAAGTCCTTAAGCCTCAGAAAGGAGAGACTTTTGTAAAGCTATGTTTATAGCTCTGTGATTGTTTTGATAATTTGTTGCCATCTTAAAATATTGTAAAGCACTGGAATATAAAATTGTAGCAATAATATACTAGCTTGATTTTTTAAATTAAACTAACATTTTTTTATGATTCTTTTTATTTACAAAAAAGATACCAGGTGATCAGCACTCCAACAGATTTTTTTATGGTAATGGAATATGTGTCTGGCGGTGAATTATTTGACTACATCTGTAAACATGGACGGGTGAGTAACTTATTATCTAGTACGATAAACCCCTAAGCTAAGAAAGAGGATAGTAGGAAATAGTAAACCACAAAGATACCTACAAAGTCAGGGTTGCTTCTGTAATAAAGCCCAGCTAAAGATACAGAATAGTAGACATATTTTCTTTCTTAAAAATATACATTTCAAGGGGCTCCTTCCTGGCTCAGTGAGTGCAGCATGTGACTTTTGATCTTGGGGTTGTACGTTCAAGCTCCACATTGGATGTAGAGATTACTTAAAAATAAAATCTTAAAAAACACCTTTTGAATTACTGATTTTAGGGAACATGTTCCACTTAGTTGCCAACATGATATTTGTGTTTTCAGAATGAAAAATCTGTTGTGTAACATGTTGAAGCTTCAATTATTTTCTTTTCGGAGCACTTTCATAGAAGTTCTGTTTTACATTATGTTTGTTGATTGCCTAAAACATTGTGCACATTTAGTGATATTAATTGAAAATCAAATCTTCCTAGCAGCACAGAAGAACCTTGTTGATTAACGTGTTGACCTTTAATGCAAGTTTTTGGTTTGTTTATCTGATTTGTTGAAAATTCTGACCCGGTTCTAATTAGCTTACACAGTTCCGTTTGGGTTGATTATAAAACTGAAACTCTTGCTGTGAAGATGTCCTAAATATTCTTAGTGCAGCTTCTGTTATACTTGCTAGGTTGCAGAGGTGGAAGCAAGGCGCCTCTTTCAGCAGATTCTGTCAGCTGTGGATTACTGTCATAGGCATATGGTAGTTCATCGAGACCTGAAACCAGAGAATGTGCTGTTGGATGCTGACATGAATGCCAAGATAGCGGATTTTGGTATGTAACTCCAAGGTTGTTCAGAAATGTACTGGTTGCCTTTTAAAAATGTGTCAGTAGCAAGTGTTAAAGGTACGAATTTGCAGGTTCAACTTTGCAAATCCTATACCATGAAAAGGGATTAGTTGCGCAGTCTCCAGGCTACCTTATTGTATTCATCTAAACAGTTTTTTAAAATGCAAATACTTCCAGAGAAGTTAGGGCTAGCTTCAAGGTAAATCCATTTAATCTGCATTTCCTTCTAAAGGAATTCTTAACTGTTATTTTTGTGGGGGTCACAAACTCCTTTGAAAATCTAATGAAAATGTGGAAACTTCCTTTGATGAATGTACTTCAAGAGGGGTAGTGAAAATTTACATGCAGCTTTGGAGACTTAAAGTCTTTCTGAATTGATCAAGGGTAAAATCTAACAACTTGCTAAAAGAATAGGAGTTTTGGTCAAGAGTAAACAAAAAGGTGAAATGTAAATTTAAGGCACCGAACACTTTCTGGGGTAAACAAACCTGGAAAGAGTACCATAGTAGAGAGTTTGGCAAAAATATTAGGAGGTGAGAGATTACAGAAAGATAGAAAGGTACCAGAGTTCAGCAGTGCTTATTTATAATTTTTGTAATAATTTTGTATATATTTAATAGTGATAATTGTTATATAATAATATATAATATAATAATTATAATATTATTATAATTATATATTAACATATAATTATGTATTAATATATAATAATAACAATATTGTATAATCTTGTATAATCTTTAAAAACTAGGAAACTTGGGCAGGCCCCTTTTGGGGCACCCGAGTGGCTCAATTGGTTAAGTGTCCTACTTCAGTTCAGGTCATGATCTCACAGTTCATGAGTTCGAACCCCACATCAGGCTCTGTGCTGTTGGCATAGAACTCATTTCAGATCCTCTGTCCCCCGCCCTTCTCTCTGCCCCTCCCCCCCAGAAATAAATAAACATTAAAAAAATTTTTTAAACAAGGAAACTAGTTTCCCTGTTTCACTTTCTTTTCTTTTTAAAATCAAAAAAATTTATTTCTTCACAATTTATTGTCAAGTTAGCTAACATACGGTGTATACAGTATACTCTTGGCTTCAGGAGTAGATTCCCATGATTCATTTCTTACATACAACACCCGGTGCTCATCCCAACAAGTGCCCTCCTCAGTTTTCTTCACTCATTTTTCCCTCTCCCCCCGCCCCAGCAACCCCCAGTTTGTTCTCTGTATTTAAGGGTCTCTTATAGTTTGCTTTCCTCTCTGTTTGAAACTTATTTTTTCCCCTTCCCCACGGTCCTCCGTTAAGTTTCTCAAATTCTACATAAGAGTGAAAATATATGATACCTGTCTTTCTTTGACTGACTTATTTCACTTAGCATAATACCCTCTAGTTCCATTCATGTTGTTGCAAATGGAAAGATTTAATTCTTTCTCATTGCCAAGTAGTAGTCCATCTTCTTTATCCATTCATCAGTTAATGGACATGTGGGTTCTTTCTGTAATTTGGCTATTGTTCAAAACGCTGCTATAAACATTTGGGTATATGTGCCCCTATGAATCAGCACTCCTGTATCCCTTGGCTAAATTCCTAGCAGTGGTATTGCTGGGTCATAGGGTAGATCTATTTTTAATTTTTTGAGGAACCTCCACCCTGTTTTCCAGAGTGGCTGCACCACTTTGCATTCCCACCAACAGTGCAAGAAGGTTCCCATTTCTCCACATCCTTGCCAACATCTGTTGTTGATGGAGTTGTTAATTTTAGTCACTCTGACCAATGTGAGGTGGTATCTCAGTGTGGTTTTGATATGTATTGCCCTGATGATGAGTGACATTGAGCATCTTTTCATGTGTCTGTTGTCCATCTGAGTGTCTTCTTTGGAAAATACCCATTCATGACTTCTGCCTGTTTCTTCACTGGATTATTTGTTTTTTGGGTGTTAAGTTTTGTAAGTTCTTTATAGGTTTTGGATACTAACCCTTTATCTGATATCTGATAAGTCATTTGCAAATAACTTTTCCCATTCCGTCAGTTGCCTTTTAGTTTTGTTGATTATTTCCTTTGCAGTGCAGAAGATTTTTATCTTGATGAGGTCCCAGTAGTTCATTTTTGCTTTTATTTCCCTTGCCTTCAGAGACATGTCGAGTAAGAATTTGCTGCGGCTGAGGTCAGAGGTTGTTGCCTGTTTTCTCCTGTAGGGTTTGATGGTTTCCTGTCTCACATTTAGGTCTTTCATTCATTTTGAGTTTATTTTTGTGCATAGTGTAAGAACATGGTGCAGTTTCATTCTTCTGCATGTTGCTCTCTAGTTCTTCCACCACTGTTTGCTGGAGACGGTCTTTTTTCCATTGGATACTCTTCCCTGCTTTGTCAAAGATTAGTTGGCCATACATTTGTGGGTCCACTTCTGGGTTCTCTATTCCATTGGTCTATGTATCTCTTTTTGTGCCAAACCCATACTGTCTTGATGATTACAGCTTTGTGTGCTAGAGGCTAAAGTCTGGGATTGTGATGCTTCCTGCTTTGGTTTTCTTTTTACACGTTACTTTGGCCATTCAGGGTCTTTTGTGGTTCCATACAAATTTTAGGATTATTTGTTCTAGTTCTGAGAAGAAGTACCAGTGTAATTTTGATTAGGGTTGCATTGAATGTGTAGATTGCTTTGGGTAGTATTGACATTTTAACAGTATTTGTTCTTCTAATTCGTGAGCATGGAATGTTCTTCCATTTCTTTGTGTCTTCTCGAATTTCGTTCGTAAGTTTTATATAGTTTTTAACATACAGATCTTTTACATCTTTGGTTAGATTTATTCCCAAGTGTTTTATGGTTCTTGGTGCAATTGTAAATGGGATCAACTTTTTGATTTCTCTTTCTGTTACTTCATTATTGGTGTATAGAAATGCAACTGATTTCTGTACGTTGATTTTGTATCCTGTGACTTTGCTGAATTCATGTATCAATTCTAGCAGCTTTTTGATGGAGTCTTTTGGATTTTCCATGTAGAGTATCATGTCATCTGTGAAAAGTGAAAGTTTGACTTCTTTGCCAATTCAGATGCCTTTTATTTCATTTTGTTGTCTGATTGCTAAGGCTAGGACTTCCAACACTATGTTAAATAACAGCGGTGAGAGTGGACATCCCTGTCATGTTCCTGATCTCAGGGGGAAAGCTCTCAGTTTTTCCCCCTTGAGGATGATACTAGCTGTGGACTTTTCATATATGGCTTTTATGATGTTAACGTATGTTAATTTTATCCCGACTTTCTTGCGAGTTTTTGTTATGAAAGGATGCTGTATTTTGTCAGATGTTTTTTCTGCATCTATTGAGATCATGTGGTTCTTATCCTTTCTTCTATTAATGTGATGTATCACACTGATTTGCAAATATTGAACTAGCCCTGCAGCCCAGAAATGAATTCCACTTGATCATGGCAAATAATTCTTTTAATAGACTATTGAATTCGATTTGCTAGTGTCTTGTTGAGAATTTTTACATCCATGTTCATCAGGGATATTGGCCTGTAATTCTCCTTTTTCGTGGGGTCTCTCTCTGGTTCGGGAATCAAAGTAATGCTGGCTTCGTAGAATGAGTCCAGAAGTTTTCCTTTCATTTCTATTTTTTGGAACAGCTTGAGAAGGATAGGTATTAACTCTGCTTTAAATGTCTGGTAGCAGGGCGCCTGGGTGGCGCAGTCGGTTGAGCCTCTGACTTCAGCCAGGTCATGATCTTGCGGTCCGTGAGTTCGAGCCCCGCGTCAGGCTCTGGGCTGATGGCTCAGAGCCTGGAGCCTGTTTCCGATTCTGTGTGTCCCTCTCTCTCTGCCCCTCCCCCGTTCATGCTCTGTCTCTCTCTGTCCCAAAATAAATGTTGAAAAAAAAAATTTTTTTTTAAAAAATAAATGTCTGGTAGCATTCCCCAGGAAAGCCATCTGGTCCAGGACTCTTACTTGTTGGGAGATTTTTTTTTTTTTTAAATGCTTTATTTGGTTTTGAGAGAGAGAATCGCGCACAAGTGGGAGAGGGGCAGAAAGAGAGAGACACACACACACACAGAATCTGAAACAGGCTCTAGGCTCTGAGCTGTCAGCACAGAGCCCAACGTGGGGCTCAAACTTGGGAACAACGAGATCATGACCTAGTCTGAAGTCAGATGCTTAACCAACTGAGCCACCCAGGCACCCCTGTTGGGAGATTTTTGATAACTGATTCAATTTCTTTGCTGATTTGGGTCTGTTCAAATTTTCTGTTTCTTCATGTTTGAATTTTGGTAGTGTGGGGGTGTCTAGAAATTTGTCCATTTTTTCCAGGTTGTCCAATTTGTTGGCATATAATTTTTAATAGTATTCTCTAATAGTTGTATGTATTTCTGTGGTGTTGGTTGTGATCTGTCCTTTTTCATTCATGATTTTATCTATTTGGGTCTTCTCTCTTTTTAAGAAGTCTGGCTAGGGGTTTATCAATTTGGTTTATTTTTTCAAAAAACCAACTCTTAGATTCATTTATCTGTTCTCTTTTTTTTTGGATTCTGTATTGTTTATTTCTGCTCTAATCTTTATTATTTCTCTTCTTCTACTGGCTTTGGGGTTTCTTTGCTCTTCTGCTTCTAGTTCCTTTAGGTGAGCAATTAGGTGTTTGTATTTGGAATTTTCTTGTTTCTTGAGATAGGCCAAATTGCAGTGTATTTTCCTCTTAATGACTGCCTTTGCTGCATCTCAGAAGGTTTGGACTGTTGTGTTTTCATTTTCATTTCCTTCCATGTATTTTTAAATTTCTTCTTTAATTGTCTGGTTGACTCATTCTTTTTTTTTCCTATTTATTTACTTAAATTTTATTTTTTTAAATTTACATCCAAATTAGTTAGCATATAGTGCAACAATGATTTCAGGAGTAGATTCCTTAATGCCCCTTACCCATTTAGCTCATCCCCCCTCCTACAACCCCTCCAATAACCCTCTGTTTGTTCTCCATATTTAAGAGTCTCATGTTTTGTCCCCCTCCTTGTTTTTATATTATTTTTCCTTCCCTTCCCTTATGTTCATCTGTGTCTTAAAGTCCTCATATGAGTGAGTCATATTATATTTGTCTTTCTCTGACTAATTTCACTTAGCATAATACCCTCCAGTTCCATCCACGTAGTTGCAAATGGCAAGATTTCATTCTTTTTTATTACCGATCAATACTCCATTACACACACACACACACACACACACACACACACACACACACACAGCATCTTCTTTATCCATTCATCCATCAATGGACATTTGGGCTCTTTCCATACTTTGGCTATTATTGATAGTGTTGCTGTAAACATTGGGGTGCATGTGTCCCTTTGAAACAGCACACCTGTATCCTTTGGATAATTACCTAGTAGTGCAATTGCTAGGTCATAGGGTAGTTCTATTTTTAATTTTTTGAGGGGCCTCCAAACTGTTTTCCAGAGTGGCTGCACCAGCTTGCATTCCCAGACCCATTTATTCTTCAGTAGGATGTTCTTTAACCTCCATGCCTTTGGAGGCTTTCCAAACTTTTTCTTGTTGTTGATTTCAAGTTTCATAGTGTTGTGATCTGAAAATATGCATGGTATGATCTCAGTTCTTTTATGTTTATTGAGGGCTGTTTTGTGACCCGGTAACTGTTCTGTCTTGGAGAATGTTCCATGTGCACTTGAGATGAATGTGTATTCTGCTGCTTTTGGATGAAAAATTCTGAATATATCTGTCAAGTCCATCTGGTCCAATGTATCATTCAAGGCCATTGTTCATTTATTGATTTTCTGCCTAGATGATCTGTCCATTGCTATAAATGAAGTATTAAAGTCTCCTGCAATTACCATATTCTTACCAATAAGGTTGCTTACGTTTGTGATTGATTGCTATATTTGGGAACCTGTGTGTTGGGGACATAAACATTTATAATTGTTAGCTCTTCTTGATGGATAGACCCCATATTTACAATACAGTTTCCTTCTTCATCTTGTTACAGCTTTTAGTTTAAAATCTAGTTTGTTTGATATCAGTATGACTACTGCAGCTTTATTTTGACTTCCAGTAGCATGATAGAGGTTCTCCATTCCCTCACTTTCAATCTGAAGGTGTCCTTAGGTCTAAAATGAGTCTCTTTTAGACAGCGTATAGATAGATCTTGTTTTTAATCCATTCTGATATCCTCTGTCTTTTGACTAGGGCATGTAGTCCATTTACATTCAGAGTTCTTACTGAAAGATATGAATTTAGTGTCATTGTGTTATCTGTAGGTTTTATGCTTGTGGTGATATCTCTCTGCTTTCCACTCACAGGGTCCTCCTTAGGATCTCTTGCAGGGCTGGTTTAGTGGTTATGAACTCCTTCAGCTTTTGTCTGTCTGGGAAAACCTTTATCTCTCCTTCCATTCTGAATGACAGCCTTGCTGGATAAAGGATTCTTGGCTGCATATTTTTCCTGTTCAGCACATTGATTATTTCCTGCCATTCTCTTCTGGCCTGCCACGTTTCAGGGAACAGGTCTGCCTCTACTGTTATGTGTCTCCTCTTACAGGTTAAGGCCCATTTGTCCCTAGCTGCTTTCAGAATTCCCTCTTTATCTTTCTTTTTTGCCAGTTTCATTATGATATGCCATGGTGAAGACCTATTCTTGTTGAGTCTGAAGGGAGTTCTCTTTGCCTCCTGGATTTGGATGTCCACTTCCTTTCCCAGATTAGGGAAGTTCTCCACTATAATTTGTTCAAGTAAACCTTCTGCCCCTTTCTCTCTTCTTCTGCTGGAACTCCTAGGATACAGATATTATGTTTCATTGAATGGCATAGTTCTCTAATTCTCCCCTCATGATCTAGCATTTTCTTATCTGTCTTTTTCTTGGCTTCATCGTTTTCCCTAATTTTACCTTCTATTGCTGTCACTGCATCTCGTTTATTTTGCACCTCATCTGCAGCATTTCTCAATTCGTCATGACTGTTTCTTAATTCTTTGATCTCTGTAGCAGTAGATTCTCTGCTGTCTTCTATGCTCTTTTCAAGTCTAGCTATTAATCTTATGACTGTTATTCAAAATGCTTGATCAGATATATTGTTTATATCTGTTTTGATCAATTCTCTAGCTGTCATTTCTTCCTGGAATTTCTTTTGAGGAGAATTCTTCCGTTTCATCATTTTGGCTAGTTTTCTGTCCTTTATGTGTTTTAATAGCTTGTTATATGACCTGCACCTGCAAGCACAATTATATTAAAAAGTGGTCGTACACTGTCCAGAACCTGGCCCTTCAGGAGGTGTTTTTGGAGTGTGTTGCATGCTCTCTGTTGTTGTGACTCTGGTTGCTTTATCTCGCTACCTGTAATGGTAGTTTGGACCTTCTACTAGGCATGCTTTGATTTGTTCATTGAAGTAACTCTGAAAAAAATTTAAAAATGGGTGTGGTGGTGGAAGAAGCCTTATCCCATACAAAGAGAGAAATGACAGGTGGTTAAAAAGAAAAGAACAGCAACCAGAAAATTGACCAGGCAGAGAATCAGAGAAACTATACTGCTTAATCCAGAGAGAGAGAGAGAGAGAGAGAGAGGGAGAGAGGGAGGGAGAGAGGGAGAGAGGGAGAGAGGGAGAGGGAGAGAGAAATAGAGAAGGTGATACAGCGGCGCCTGGGTGGCTCAATTGGTTAAGCATCTGCCTTAGGCTCAGGTCATGATCTCACAGTTCGTGGGTTTGAGCCCCGCATTGGGCTCTGTGCTGACAGCTGTGGAGCCTACTTGGGATTCTCTGTCTCCCTCTCTCTCTCTGCCCCTCCCCTGCTCTTTTTCTGTCTCTCAAAATAAATAAACAAACAAACAAACAAACATTTAAAAAAAAAGAAAAAGGAGATACAGAAGAGATGTAAAAAGAATGGATTAAAAATTATCTGCTTAAATAAACCAATCAGAATTAGAAGTAATCAAAGGAATGAAGAAAAAAAATTTTATATAAAATAAGAACTGACCAAGAGTCAAATCAGAAAATGCAAAACCACTGTGCTGATACCTGATGGTGCCTTGGAACCTGTGACTGCGGTGCTGGTCTGGAACACTGCTTCAGTGTCAGTCTCGCTTCTGTAGATATGCATTTACCAGGCATGAAGGGGCATGGTTTGGTGTAGGCAGGTCCTGCCTGCACTGTGGGTCCGTTGTCCCTTCCCTGAAGCCCAACCTTGTTGGCGATGGGGAGAAAAATGGGGACACCCCTGTCTCTCCTCCCCAGACCAAATGTCTCCTACTGGTCTGTTCAGGCTGTCCACACAGTGCCGTGCAGACACAGAGGGCCAGTTTGTCCCACTCCACCATCTCCTGTACCTCCCAGGCACTTGGCTAAATTCAGTCCCTGATGTCATAAAGGATCCTGCTCCGTGAGCCCCAGTTCTGGGGTAGTGCCGCTCCGGGCCTGGGTGGCAGGTGTCTGCAGGTTCTTTTGTCTTTAGAGTGGATATATACCTTCTTCCCACAGCACTCAAGGGAGGGGGCTACTCTCTCCGACTGCACCCCTGAGCTCGCTACCAAGCCTGGGTCTGGCTCCCCTCCTCCCCAGGCGTGCATGCAGGGCGGCAGGCTCCAGTCTGGACAAAGACCTGCAACCCTGGATCGTGTTAGATACTGGTTCTTTCTCTGTTTTTTCTATTCCCCGGTCTGTGGTTTTTCTCTTGTCCAAATACAGCCCTACACTTCCACAGCCTCTCTTTCTCTTCCTTTTGTCTCTCCAGAGAAAGGGATCCCTCTCCTCTGTGCCTATGCCACCCATTTTCTCTCTCCCAATTGACAGTCACACACCTATGGACCACCAAGTTGTCCCTGGGGGCCCCTAGAGATATTTCTGTCACTCTGTAGCCTGGGTTCTTGGAATTCCGTCTTCTGGCCTCAGTATTGCTGTGTTTGAAGGACGAGGGAACTTTGGGTCCCCCTACTTATAGCTCTGCTATGTTGACTCCTTCCCCCCCCAAAAAAACTTTAAAAGGTGCCCCTTCTCTTTTGTAAATCAAAAAAAACTCTTTAATATTATAGTCCAGTTAGATTTTTGGTTCAGTAGATTATTTTTTCTATGTTGAATATAAGCTTTCCAAATTAAAAGCTTTTGGAACATAATCTTTATAAATAAGAACCTGTCTGATTTCTACTTAGAGATTTTATTTTTAAAGGCTTTGAAAGCATAGGACAAAAAGTAATAGGCTCCATTTCATTCTTTCAACTGTAGAAATGGGCAAATAATATTTTGTTGCTTTTATGTTTAGAAGAGTTCATATAATTTAGAACAACCTCATATTTGTCAGGTGAATCAAGATTTTTATTTAGAAAAAGGAATTCGAATCATGCATGATGTGCTTTTTCTTTTAGAGCTAAAGTATGCTGGAATGTTTTTTACTAGTCTAACAAATGCTTTCCACTACTTTTTTTCTAATAATTAAAAAACTATGTATAGGACATTAAAGACTTGATATTTTCCCTTGTACTTATATCTACTTTTAAAAATATCTAGCATGAAGTAAACGTTACTCTTATTTTCAGGATTGTCTAATATGATGTCGGATGGTGAGTTTCTGAGAACTAGTTGTGGATCTCCCAATTATGCAGCACCTGAAGTCATCTCAGGCAGGTAATAATAGATGGGTGGAGAGTAAACTTTTCATAATCTTTTGTTCATCTTAATAACATTTAATTATGATATATTCTGTTCAGAGGATAAGATTAACACAGTAGGAACAAATTGTCCTTTTTTTCCATTCTTTAAGAGAGAATAGTTTTATTAAACAATTTTTTAAACAGTTTCGTTTTTGTTATGAGTATATTTAATGATTTTTTCTTTTTTCCAGGTATAATTATTTTTATTCCTAGCTATTTTTGATAGTATTACTGATATAGTAATAACAGAGAATAAGTGTTGTGTTTGTTGGAAACATTTACAAAAGAATTCAAGCATTAAGTTCTTGATAGGACAATATTAGTGTCCCTGGTCCTATATATGCTGGCAATATGTAAAACACCTAGGTTCCCGGGTGCAGAGTGCAGAGGTGTAAAGTAAGTCACTGAGACATTGCAAGGAAAAGAAGAGAGTATAAAATAAAGATGTAAGCAAAGAGTAAAGTGTTGAAGGAACAGATAAGAAGTATATCGATGATCATAAAACCCTTAGGTGAGCTTTTGTTCTGTCTGTTCTCAAAGTTCCATGAGTCTGTGATGATGCGAAATTATTGAAAAAAAAATTTAAGGGAGTTTTTCCATTAAAAAATGACTGAAATATTGATTTTATTTTGATAAAGTACAGATAAGAGCATTTGCTATATTCAAGCATTCCTATCAGACAGTCCTTAAATAATAATTAACATATTTTTAATAAGGTACTATATAGACCATTATTTTATGTTTTGTTTTTAGAACAGTGAGGTTTTGGGGGGACAGTATTGTCACTTCATGAAATTAAACTGTACAAGTAGAGATTGGAGCTTACCCATTGGTATATAGAAAAAATGTTCATACAGATTGCAGTGATAAACTGAAGACTTTCTACAGTGACCAGTGTCTGTTTAAAAACTTAACAGAATTCTCTGAGAGAAAATACAGAAACGTTATTATTGCAAGGAACAGATATAGGAGTTTTGGACAGTACAGCAAATGATATAAATGATGGGCAGCACCATTTTGAAGTGGATTATATTCTTTTAATTGGAATAACATAGATTTACTTTGTTACCTCAGACCTAGCTTTGAGTTTGTCAGTGTGCTATCAGGAGCATTTTAATATTTTTTATGTAGGTGAGAGAAGAAAGGACTAATATTCCAGCCATAGGTTATGTGTAACAAAGCTAACCTTAGTCCTGTGAGCTAATCTAACAAGTGATTGGAATGAAAGTCATACTCAGGACAATGTTATACAGGACAAGTACCGTCAAAGAGATGGCTGTAGGACTAGTTAGGCATTGTAATGTTTCAAATATTCTGTAAAATATGCATTCAGGGATAAAAATTGTTATATATGCATTTTCTTTATTGTAGTTTTATGATAAAAGGATTTAACGTATACATTATAGTATTGTTTTTTTCAAGTTTATGGTTATCTACTTTGATGTTTCCATAAAAATTCAACCATAGTATGTTTTATTTAAAAAAAAATTTTTTTTAATGTTTATTTATTTCTGAGACAGAGACAGACAGAGCATGAGTGGAGGAGGGGCAGAGAGAGAGGGAGACACAGAATCAGAAGCAGGCTCCAGGCTCTGAGCTGTCAGCACAAAGCCCGACGTGGGGCTCGAACTCACAAACCGTGAGATCATGACCTGAGCTGAAGTCGGTCGCTCAACTGAGCCACCCAGGCGCCCCTGTTTTATTTTTTTTTATTAGTCAATTAGTAAGTTAAGTGAGTTTGTGACAAAGAAAAATACTGCTTTCTTTTGGAAAACTTGAATAGTAATTGCACAGACCAATTCTCTACGGGAACAAGTATTGACTGTTGGGAGTGTGGCCATGGTCCTCATTGAAGGCCTGCAAATCAGTATAGACTGAGTCTGTAATATGTATATGAAGAAACGGCATACACGAGGATGAGAAAAAGTGGTACTTGTATTTCAGGTTTTTGTCATCTTTTTTCTTAGATTGTATGCAGGTCCTGAAGTTGATATCTGGAGCTGTGGTGTTATCTTGTATGCTCTCCTTTGTGGCACCCTTCCATTTGATGATGAGCATGTACCTACGTTATTTAAGAAGATCCGAGGGGGTGTTTTTTATATCCCAGAATATCTCAATCGTTCTGTTTGCACTCTGTTGATGCATATGCTGCAGGTTGACCCCCTGAAACGGGCAACTATCAAAGATATAAGGTGATTATTCTTTTTGTGACTGTTACGTGTATTTTGTAGTATTAATAATAATAACACTAATTGAGTGCCTGCTTTATGTTAGTCTCTGTAACACTTAATAGCATAGGAATTTTGCTTTCCTTTTTACACAAACCTGATCAGGTCACTGATCTTTTAAATATTTCAGATTGTTTTCTAAACTTTTTAGCTTAAGCAGCAAATCCTCAAAGGCCCTTCCTAATAAGGCTCCATTTCCTTCTCCTGAAGCCTCACTCCTGCACTTACCACCACACACTGGTACCAGTGCCTCAGCTACATTCAGCTTTTCCTTGTTCTTCAAAAAACATATTTTATGCTTTCATGTTTTAATTTATATTATTGTCTCTGATTTGTCTTCTGCCTTTTTTGACCCTGTAGATTTCCATCCATCCTTTATAATTCTTACTTATCATCTCCCTTGTGAAATTACCTCTGATTCCTCCAGGCAGTGTTAGTTGCTTCCACTTCCGTGATTTCCACATTTTGTTCATGGTTTTCTTTTTTCTTTTTTTTTTTTTTTTAATTTTTTTTTCAACGTTT